TCTGAACAATTATTACATTGATAATTTTAATTAGAATAAGAACAAGCAATCAAAAAAATATTATTATAGTAATTATCGAATCATTAAATTTTTTAAACTTTAAATTTTCAAGTTTTCATAATAACTCAAATAATAAATATATATTTAATATTTACACTTAACCGATTTCTATTTTTGGTATAAAAAAAGCCTATAGATGAAAATAATCTCTCAACTGATGCACTATTAACAAGTATACCATGAAGTCTTATAGCTACAGAGGAAAGCTCTGGTCAAATTTCGCCACAAGATTTCTAATATTTTAATAGATCTCCTTCAAATTGATTCCAATTATTTATTGTAAAAGGAAATATTTCATCACGATAGTCTTGTAACTCAGCCATAATTTTTTTAGGTGGATTTCCAAACCAAGCACAATAGTAATAAGAAATCCATATTCCTATTTCAGCAAATGTAATACCATTAATTGGTAAATTAAATTGTGAAAGATGAATATTAGGATGAAGTAAATAACTAAGAATCAAAAGAGGTTGCTCCCATTCTCTCCAACATTGCTCTAAATGTTCTGTCATTTTTGCACCAAAAGTTATATCAGAATGCTTATCCATTAGCTTATAAAGATAGCTAAAAGATTGTAATACTTCATAAAGATAAGCTGTATTAGTTTGAAGCTGATTTAAGCAAAGACATATAGGTGCAAGTAAAGTATATAATTCAGATATTATGTTCCACCAATTACTATCACTAATTGTTTCACAAATATAGTTTGGCAAAGCTAATCTATTATCTTCAGGTGATGTATATTTTGCAACTAAAGACTATAAGATAAAAATATATTAATAAATTAGATTATAATTTTATTTAATATTAGATATATATAAGCTTACAATTAAAGATGCTTTTGAACACAAAAGACAACTAAATGCTTCATAAAAGCTATTCCATCTAGTATCACCTGAATGAATTAATGCAATATATCGCTTATATATCATCTTTTGCTCATCTCTTAGTTTACCAATAAAATAAAAGTGATTAGCATTGTTGAAATAATTTGTTAATTTGATCACTTTTTTAATAGTACTGTTAAAATGAACATTTTCTTTAAAGATCTCTCCAACAACTAAGTTAAGTTGATGTGCAAAACAAGGCAAAAAAACAATTTTGCGATAAGATTTACGCATACGGTGTCTAAAATAATTTAATAAAATTAAAATAATTATACAAATAAGAATATTTAAAATTTTTTAACTAAAATAGATTACTAAATGCTTTGTTTTAAAATCCTCAATAAATAATAAATAATGAGTAATAAATAAATAATGTATAAATACCATGCTGCTGCATATGTGGATGCTGAATCAGAAATTATAGCACCAACTTTAATTTGTTGAGTTTTTAAATTCTCAAGAAATACTTCAATTTTAGAAATTACATTGGTTGTTCGATCTAGTTCAGCACTAATATCTTGAACACTCCAAATTAAAACTTCATCAGAAGATGTAATAAGTACAGTTCTAAGAATATTTTGTTTTAAAATATTTTTCCACCCATCGAATGCTAATGACACTCCAACAATATCATGAGTTGCCTTTGTTATTAATTCAGAATGAAGTTTCTTTTAATATATGGCCTCCAAGGGTATGATGGCTTGGTATTACAAGATTTGGATTTTTAAATTTAAGCATTGCGATTGATGATTCTTTTTCAACCCAATTAAATGACCATCCATTTTCAATTGTCGCATTTAAAACCAATTTCTCAAAATGAGATATATCAACTAAACTATATTCTTGTGCAAGATATGGTTGCATTGGTTGTTGAACTATGTCTATTGATTAAAAAAATTAATTAAAATAATTTATTAAATTATAAATTAATGTTATTAATTATATTACTTTGCGAATTAATTTTTTTAGACTTAAATGAACTACTTGATGTTTTAGATTTTAATTTAGACGATTCAGTTATTCGCATCAATTTTTCATATTCATCTTTACTGACAGCTGCTTTAAAACTTAAACAGTTTTGAAAATGTGGTCGAAGTCTGTCTTTTTTATTAACACATTGTGTATTTTCTATTGCATATGTTTTACTATGTTTTTGTTCACACCATTTACAAATTGTATAAACAGTTTTTAAGTTTAGAGCATAAATAATTTTAATATAAGGAGTAAAGGGATGTGGAGGCTTCCCGCCATAATGAGACCGCTTCATAGTATTGAATTATTCTAAACATTAACATGAATGTTTGCACATTAATTATATAAATTCTATAGATCATTATTATACAATTTAGTATAAATTATGTACATACCTTTTTGAGTAATTCATTTAACAAATTTTCTCACAAGCTAATATTATATGTACAAGTCATAATCATATTA